TTTATAATAAATTTTTTATGGCAATTTGTTCACCAACAGCATTTTCGATTTTGGATAATTAGAAATAATGCGAAAATCCTGAGGAAAACATTTCTAGAGAATGTCATCCTTACAGAACGATGGCGACAAGAGTATACACATGGTAAGATTCCTTCAGTGAAACTCGCAAACCTCATAACTGCTTTAGAAAGAGAAAGTCCCAGCACGCTACATTTAATGTAATTAGAAGACCCTGAACGTTCTATGTTCTTACCTGCCATGCGCGGAAGCTGTATCGCCGTTTGTTTAGATAATATATATTAATGCAGAAACTTATTAACACATGCTGTCAACGTGGGCATTTAAATACCGTGGATCCGTGACCTGTTTAAATGGTTCCCCTAGGGGACCTTAACCAAGAAGGGTGTGATTACATTAAGAATTGAAATGCAACATTTACCCAAGGAATTGAAAAACTGTTATTCGTGACAGCTGTATCGAACATCGTAGTTATCTTATTCGTCTAAACTAACACGTATCTATGGTATGTAGAATTGCAGTATATAATATACTGTTTTTTGCATAAATAGCTTAAACTTTACCTATATTATACAATGGATGACGAAGTTCATACGCATGATTTCATAGCTAGAAATGAAAAAAACGAGGTAAACGCTGTCTTCTACATTTTTATGATCTATTCTTCGAGCGAATAATTTTTAGACCAATTAGGCTTCTTTATTTCAAGATTTGTTACAATTTTTCGCGTCAGAAACCAGATGGCATTAATCTGGGTTTTACCAACTCCTTTCAATCATCATCCATCATATCTACTGCTTGTAACCGACCTTTCTTTCGCAGCATTGGGAAAAACATAATAACTCTAGTACATTAAATAAATAATGACCTTTCCACGACTAGATTTTCTGGCATATTGCATCACCCCTTGCTCTCAATCATGCACAGGGCTATTTAAGCAGGCCACAGCTACATGGTATTTTAGTACCTTTGCCCAATAAAACCACATGCCGATGATTACGATGTTTCAGGAGCTGGTACTCCACAAACCTCATCACAAATATCATAAACTGTTATCTGCCCAATAACAGTACAGAAACTTGCCCAGTAACGAATGACGCTCATAAGATCAACGCGTATATATGAAAACAACAGCTAGCTTGCAACACAGAATCCAGATACAACGGTACATTATCGGGTATGGACAATACAACAATCAGAGTGTATTAACTGTAACTGCAGGCGTTTGAGACCTATTAGTCAAGTGACCACATGACTTTTAGTACATCTGATTATATTTCGTGTGCAGTTTCATAAACCTTTCCTTGCCAATGCTGAATTTGCAGACTTTGTTAGTTACTGCCGCATCATATTTCTTCAAAGCAGCAAGGGAATGGAAGCAAACAGAAGAAAACAGAATCCTGTACGTATATCGATCCGAGAAAAGAATATCATAACTATACAATCGCAGAAAAAGTAAACGTAAAATACTGACACGGAAATAACTACAGTAAGCAACAGTCAAGTTCTATTCCAATTGGGACACTCAACAGTAGTTTAAAAAAAGTAGTATTGGCAATGTAGTTATATCGTCTCTTAAATCTTTTGATCTTCTATTTTCTTTAAAAATTGACCTAGCACTACGATGTGAAAGTCAGACCAATTTTACACCTTATTTATATTCAGAACCCTTTGGAGGATATTTAATAAATAGTAAAACTCCTAAGTTAAATCTTGTTCCTGAAAGCTGAAGGACGTGGGCGAAAACTGCGACTCAGAACAAAGTCCAAAAAATCTATCTGTCACTATTTATTAAAAATCAACAGGATATGAATGCCATAAAAACTTTTTAGACAGCTCAATTTGACAAAAAATAAACTGATGGTTATTTAGAGCGCCGCCCGATTGCCTCGATCAGTGAAACTCTGCTGATAGTCATACCCACAGACATATTAACACAATTAAGTTGGCTTTCAATATTTATACAGATTTAAGTGCCTTAGGTTATGAAATTAGGGGATGTATATTGTGTATGGAAACTGCAATGAGTCTAAACACCAGTTACTTGTTAATTTACATTTTTATAGTATTTAACCCATATAATCAATGACCCTATTGATTTAGTCCATATTGCATCAGCTGCTCAACTAACGTTTAAAAGATTCTATTATAAATTAATTTAGGAAAAAACTGTTTTTCTGTCAATGCATTATATTCCCTGGACCTTGTTTCACAATTTTATGCTTATCTCAATTATAGGACCTTGATGCAAACGCAGAGCTTACTGCCAGCATGCAGACAAATATACCGTCCGAAACACGCAAAAAAATAACTGCTTGACTCTGTGATAAAAATTTATTTGCGTACGGAAAAAGCGTATGTTTGTCTGTTATCCAAAGCAACAATGAGATGGGGTAAAGCGGCTTGTAAAACAGTTCACTAAATAAACTTTGCACCCAAAGAGGGCGGAGGGGAGCCAGAATCAGCACTAAATAATACGTCTTCGTGATTAGCTCATTAATAACTTTGTAAGAACTTCCCAAGCCATTCAGCGAGGCCTCTCATTTTGGTCGGTTCGTTGCTAAAGTCGCATTCATCTTTATAAAACAGTATCACTTTTTGTAGTTTTGCGTATGAAAATAAACAGCCTGCGAACATAACCGTTTCCTAAAGCAGTATGAATGCCGAAGACATAGAGTGTCATTCAGTCACTTCTTTGATAGCTGATGGTTAGCTATGCTGTAAAATTCCCCGAAGTAAGGCGATTTATGTTTGGGTAGTAATTTCTTGCTACAGAATAGATATGCTCTGTTGTAGTGGCTCCCAATGTTATGAAACTGTTCGACAATGTTGAGCTTTATGAACAGCTATTTGATAGATGGTTAATGTACAGTTCTTCTCGATCATCATCACCTACCTCTTCTTATTGTTTTTCTTAGTTATTCTGTTTATCAAGGATCCGCTACATCAGTCAATTTTCTGTACATTTTTCGACTTTAGACCAAGTTTCCTGTCACCGCTCAACTTCGTTTTCTTCAATGTCACTGCACTTTACCCTTGATGCCACTTCTCGCAACTGATGGCAGCAGTGGTCGAACTACATTGTCCGCATCGTCGTCAGGTCGTTTCGACAAGATCGAAATGATTATGGTCTGAATTTTGCCATTAAGCCACCTAGATGTATCCCCACCCCCCGCATGAAAATATTCTGCATGTGATCCTCATTGTTAAGGCCATGCATTTATTTTCGCACTCGCATTTCTATGAACAAATGATGAATGCGTGATTTTCTTGCTCATGCAAAATGATACATCGGTATGATTGAAAGAACTTGTGGTTATCGAGGCTGATCATCAACTTTGATTAACTCTCTGGTGCGATTAATTGCCAGGTTTTGTTGTGGACACCTTTAGTCGTACACCAGAATAAGATTTATTACGACGATGTGATCGCTCACTCATGTGCGATGCAAAAACTAGCGACAGCAGGAAGTCAGGAATAAGGAAGAGCCAACTCGCTGATGAACTGAGCTTCAACTTTACGTTGAACGAGTTGATTGATGCCTTTGGCAGCAAGCGAGTGCTCTGCTCTCGTCCCGCATGGATTTTGAGTAGGACTGCTGCACGGAAGAAATCTGAAAGTTCCATAAATCGAATTTTACGTCAAAGTCAGGTACAGTCGTATCCCGTTTAACGCGACGGTGCTGTATGTGAAAACCACAGTGCTAAACGAATCACAGTTATCTAAGGTTTGCATAAAATAGAACTTATGAAAATGCATTCTTCAAGTAGTAGTACATTTCCTCTCCTCAAGGTAATGGCACAATCGCTCTTGTCTCTAATACTGTCTCATAAATATGTGGTAGATCCTCCACATTGTCAAGATTCACTTGGACCGTCCTAACTTGATTTGAAAAATCGATGATATCCGTGGAAATAGTTCTATTTTCATTTAAATTGTTGTGACAAGTCTCAGGAAGCAATAAAAGATGAAGACAAAAATGCGTGAATATCTTATAGTAATCTTTCCCTCGTCCCATAATCGGTCAAGTAGGTTATGACAGGTCTTCAGCCATTCAGCAATTCATTCGTTCTTACGCTTTGCATTCAATTGCAAGACACTTGTCCCAGGCTGCACTGGCATTCTTCACTGCGTTCATAATGCGGTGCAAAGATATCCAGAAGTCTCGAATGTTGGTTTTTACCTTCACTTACGTCAATCAGCTTATTAATGGTGCACCACGGGTAGCAGAGCAAGAAATTTGTTACGACATGCTGGTGCTCCATTTGAATAAGAGTAGTCGTGTTTGGCAAAATGAACAGAAAATGCACCCAGTAGGGCATCCAAGTTGTCTGACTCACCAACGATATCGTCGAACACTAATAACGCTCTGGTTCTCACTTTAATGGCGTCACAACAGCGGTTCGTTTCAGAACAAAATTCAGAGATGAACCATTATTAGAAAATGCCCTTTCTCACCCACTCCCAGAGGCTTTGCCTCAAGGTAGCGAGAAGATGCCATTTAAAAGGATCCCTCATTACTCTATCAGCGTACTTGTGATTCGGTCTGTTGTCGTGCTTCAAACCCTGGCAACCGTGGCGTTTGTATCACTTCTTGGAGTGCTACAGTGGGTGTTGGCATTTGCGTTTAATTAAAACCGGTTTTTTGGACATTCAAAAATGCTTGAAAAAGGAGAGTTATCACCTCTGATGAATGTTTAAAGTGAAGTCGGAATCTCACCCTTCACTTAATGTTCAGGACTAGCTGCTTCCCACGTACCTTTATGCTCTCCAAGACGCTGCGATTCATATATATTTATCAAACAACTCG